ACCACTGATCTCTCTCAGCTGCTGCTGGGGTTTTTTTTGAACATACTTTTTATCTAATATAGAAACTTTTTTCAAAGTGAAAAAATCATGTTGTTATTTGCTGTTGGGTTAGCAAAGCTTTCTTTTAAGTTTTCCTTCAGCTTGACCTACATCATGACTGAAAATTAATCCACAAACTGCCTGTGGGCTGAAACTGATGAATCTATATTGCACAGACTCTTGGGTTTGTCCACCAGTAATATTTACTATGCCAAGTGGGCTTTGCTGTCATTGTCAGAGAGCTTTGTGAAACTAAACAGAATATTGTGGAATGTATTAAAGTTAAGAGATTTTCTCAAGCAGATCAAGCATAATGTCTTGGTATAATTGCAAAAGTAAAAAAAAAGTGTAAAGATTGCTTAAATGGTTTTAACTTAAGCACAACCTTTGGCATTATTACTTCATGGTAAGTTGAAGTGAGTTGAATGTCCAGGCCTGTTAATTTTCTAATAAGAATTGCATACTTACTGGTAAGATAAATGTATTGGATGTCTTACATACTGCCTGTCTCTTGCTGCTCAGAGTATAGATATACTCAAGAAATTCAGGTTACATTTTTTGGTTTTGCTTTTTTGCATTCATCCTTTTACTCTTTGATGCTATAATGTGTTCTCACTAACTGTCGTGACAGGTAACAGGGAAACCTGTTTTCACTTCTATAGACTTTCAGTAGTACACTTTTTTTAATGGTCTGTAAGTATTCAGGAAAAGGTATGATACTATGCATTTCTCTCCAAAGGCAGGTTCACGACTTTTTGTGATGCACTATTTGTTGTTCTAGGCTATTATTTTGTCTTTTCCACCCCTGGTTTATTAAAGGTTAAAGTGTGTTTATGGATCATCTAATGTAACTGTTTATTGAGAGAGGAATAGGATACTTGAAGGAAAAGAGAAATGTGATCAATAAGTTCTCTGTTCTGCTTTGTAATCTACACAAGCCTATAGAAATGTGTGGTGGAATTAAATTGCCAAAGTATGTTGTTACTTGAGTGTTTTTACTTTGGCCAAAAGTGTGGTACAGGTGCCACTAGACTGCCTTCAACACACAGTGGTCAGGAAAGCTTTCTTCGCTTTGTACAAGCTATCCAGATCTAAACACAATGTGTTTACTTACTTATTTGTTTGTAGTGGTTTAAGTTACAAATGCACAAAGACAACTTGCTGGTCCTATCGCCCTAAAATTGTGCTTCTTTTAGCCCCCCTGGTGAAGTATCTCTGCAGTGCAGCTGCAGCAGATTTGCTTTCCACATATACTTAATAGCAAAATACTGGAACTTTGAAACATTCCAGAAATAATAGTTGTTACCTGTATGCTGACCTGCTTAAACAAGAGGAAGCCAAACAACTGCATTTTTCAATTACTTCTGTGAAATATGTAAACTACATGGAGAATAAAATACTGAATATGGAAACTACTGTATTTGAGAATGAAATGTATTATTGCCTTTTGTCCTGAGAATTAAGTGGTACTTAAGTCTACTTGTTTGCTTGCCTAAGTGTTTTTCATATTCTGAATTGTCCTCCCCAGTGGAGAAGCTGAAGAGCCAGTGGGACAATACCCAGCATGGCGTGGAGGTGCGGCAGCAGCAGCTGAAGTACATGCTGACAGACAGCTTGCAGTGGCATGAGCAGAGGCAAGAAATGGAGCACCTGATGGAGCAGTGCGAGATCCGTCTGCGCATGCTCCTGCAGGCCCCAAAAGAGACACTTGCCAAGCAGATTTCAGAGAGCAAAGTAAGACCACTCACTTACATTTTTCCATACCAGACTCCTCAGTCTATGTAATGCTATTGGATTCAATTGATGAGTAAATGTACAGTTTAATTGTAGGACTGATTTGGCAATTCTGTCTCTTTTTGGACATTATATATATAGTCTAAATTGTTTGTTTTTCAATGTTTCAGACTTCCTGAGAATCGCATTCTGAGAGGGAAGCAGGCAGCATGTGTGTCTTTGAGAGCTTAGAATGAGTATTATGTAGTATCAAATATATGATATTATGCAAAAAGCTTGAACCCCAGATCAATTGCAGTTTAGTGATACAGCCACAGAATTTGCTTCATAGAAACCTGTTAACAGTAGTTTAGTAAGTCTAGAAATAGACTGAGGTATTTTAAATTACCCTGAATTTCACTTCTGATGGGTGTCAGGCATATTCAATGCTCCTTTTTTTTTCCCCCTTTTTTGTTCCCGTACAATCTTCAATGCTTTTTATATCACAGCAAGCGTGCTGTGATAAATCCATAAGTCTAGTGTCCTTTGTCCCTGTGTCTGCCAGGAAAAGGGCAGGCTGTAGGTGGCACAGTATGAGAGCTAAAGAGGCAAATCAGCAAATCAGTGTGGTATTTAGAACAGGGCTGTAATAGCGTGTAAA